TGGAGCACTGGGTGTTATGCACAAACAATGAATCATGGAACACTTCATCTAGAACTAATGATGTAATGTATGGGGATTAACATAAGAATAAAAAAAAAATTGGGAAAAAAAAAATTCAAATGAAATATTGTACCACATCTGATAAACAAGTAAGTTTGACACTTATTGACAATATCAATACTATTTGTAAAATGAAAACAAAAAGCTTAAATTTGACAAATATAAAAATAAAACAGACTTCTAAAACAAACCCAAATAGAAATTTCATTGAGAAAATGTGTAAAATGAGTCTGCGCCTGGACATAGCAAACATCAAAGAGACAAAGGCTGTTTACCATTAAACACTAATTAGCAAACCAGTCAATAGTATTTGCACAAGATCTAATTACAGTCTTGCTCTACTCTCTCTGTGAAAAGAGCCAAGTACTTCAGCAAGTGGGAAGGAGAGTTTTACTGAATCAATCAACTAACATTTTTAAAGTGTCCATCAGGGATTGGAGTGCCCGATGCGCAGAAGCATGTGTTTGGAGCATCTGTGAAGTGGGAGCAACAATCTTTTTGTTTTGAGATAATTTGCTACCTAATAATTAAAAACAGAAAGGAAAGAAGTAAGCAAATCAGTGAAGTGATCCTATGGGAAAAAAAATTAGAGTTGGTTGGATTCCCTTACACTTATTTTAGTTTATTGTTATTACTTTGAATTGCATATGGCAGGATGTCATGAGTTTTTCAATGCGTGGAGGTTGGTTTCTAATGGTTTTAATCTAGCCTTGACAATGGGTATAACATTTGGGGCATAGGATTCCAAATACAGAAAATATCTGGTTCACATGAAAAAAAGATTAATATAAAGTAAAATGTCTTTTAATGACCGTATAATAACTTTTTAAAAATATGCCCATCAGGTTACCATGACCCAAAAGAAGGTATGGCATATCCACCTCATTAATAATGTATAAACAATAGCCAATGTGCACATTATGGAAGAATAATTATAAAATTTACATATACTAATTCCAAAATCACTTTACTGATAAATAAACCTTTGAGGTCTAGAGGTGAAAATTCACTTGTGATATATATTCAGGATATATTGTCTCACTTACAGATTTTCTCTTGAGAAGAGTACTATACTTTGGATGGCATTCTAACTTATAGAAAATAACTCACAGCACCATTTTAATAGAAAGAACAAGGAAGCTAGTGAAGGCACCATCTTGGGAGAGGTTAACCTCCTTTACAAAGGGTACAGTTGCTGGGGGAAAGCTCCCAACTCAGTTCAAATCTTAGCTTGTGGCTTTTAACAGCTGTGTGACTTTGAGTACTTGACCTAACCTCTCTGAGCCTCAGTTGCTTTACTGGTAAAATGGAAATAATATCAGGGCCTAACTCATGAGACTGTTGTACAGATTAAACAAGAAATCATACATAAAGCAGGCAATGTGCTGAGTGCTTTGCATATAATTTCTTGTTTAGTTGGTAAACCAGTGGCTTCGATTTTAGTTTTCTCCACACAAAATGCTGTTATTTCTTAAAATTGTAACCAGTCATCAACCCTTTTGCCTTGGGAGGGATGGTCCTGTAGGAGGCCAAGGCTGCTGTTCCCACTGAACAGTAGTCTGGAAATTCTGGGCTTCAGACTTGAGCAGTCTTGACATTCTTCTGCATGGTGAGTCTTACCTCATAGTAACTCTGGACAGCATTCATGAAGGCTTCATCAGCCACAATCTGGGTTTCCCCATTGAGGAAAGCCTGAAACCGGTCCTTGACTGTCTGCAGCTGCTGTTTGCTGATCTGTAAGGAACAGAGGAAGAGAGAACAGTGAGGACTTGTTCTAGACAAGGATTGTGATTCCATGGAAGATGCCAGGCCCATTGGTGTGTTAGAGCTGGCTTGTTTAGGCGCGCGGGAGCTGATTGTTAAATTTTCAGGAGTTTACTAAAAAATAGTATAAATTACAGTTAAATAAATTATATTGAAAATAAAGGTAACACATACTCAAAATTCATTGCTTCCTGATTATTTTAGCATTACCTGTGCTTTTGAAGTTACTAACATCTATTGTATTTGTATGGCAGCAATGATATATAACGGGTGCTACCTTATACCACTCCCCAACTCTACATTCAGTGACATCTTATTGGAAGCTAGGTATCAGTCAGGATAAGAGTATTTACACCATGCAAATTGGCAAGAGCTACAAGTCAGGTGTTTTTGTTGGTTAGTTTTTGTTTTTTTCGTGAGAGATGGTTGTTTAACACGTCATTGCACAGGCCCCTCAGGTCGTCTGAAATACCCTGCTTTATAAAGTTCTAGTCATCAAAACAGTATGGTATTAGCATAAAAACAGTCACCCAGAAATAGACCCATGAATATACAGGCAACAATATTTGACAAGGGCGCCAAGATATTCAAAGGGGAAAGGATACGCTACTCAATAAATGATGTTGGAAAAACTGTATATTCACATGCAATAGAATGAAATTGGACCCCTATCTTATACCACTCACAAAAATTAACTTAAGTGAATTAAAGACTTAAATGTAAGACCCCAAACTGTAAAAGTATTAGAGGAAAACAGGGGAAAACCTCATTGACATAGGTCTTGGCAATGAATTTTTGGATACGACATCAAAAGCTCAAGCCACAACAGAAAACCGACAAGTGGGACTACATCTCTGTAATAATCTACTGCACAGCAAAAGAAACAACAAGCAAAATGAGAAGGCAATTTATGGAATGGGAGAAAGTATTTGTAAACCATTTACCTGATAAGGGGTTAATATCCAAAATATATAAGGAACTCATATAATAGCAAAAAAAAAAAAAATCCAATAAAAAATGGGCAGAGGACTTGATTAGACATTTTTCCAAAGAAGACATACAAATGGCCAACAGGCCATGAAAGGATATTCAACATCACTTCTCAGGGAAATGCAAATCAAACCCACAATGAGATATCACCTCATACCTGTTTGAATGGTTATCATTAAAAAAACAAAAAAACAAAACAAAACAAAAAAACCGAGAGATAACAAATGCTGGCAAGGCTGTAGAGAAAATGGAACCCTTGTTCCATACTCTTGGTAGGAATGTAAATTGGTGCAGCCACTATGGAAAACATGGAGTTTCCTCAAAAAATTAAAAATAGAAGTCCTATATGATCCAGCAATTCCACTTCCGGGTATATATCTCAAGGAAAGGGAAACACTACCTGAAAGAAATAGCGCCACCCCAATGTTTGGTGCAGCATTATTCACAATAGCCGAGACATGGAAACAACCTAAGTGACCATCGATGGATGAGTGGGTAAAGAAAATGTGATACACACACACACACACACACACACACACATACACACGCTTGATCATTATTCAGCCATAAAAAAAAAAAAAAGAAATCCTGCCATTTGTGACAACATGGATGGACCTAAAAGGTATTATGCTAAATGAAATAAGTTAGAGAAAAACAAATACTGTATGTTCTCACTTACATGTGGATTCTAAAAAATGTTGAACTCATAGAAATAGAGAGTAGAATGGTAGTTGCCAAGGCCTGAGGGGTGGGGGAAATGGAGAGATGTTGAACAAAGCATACAAACTTCCAACTCTAAGATGTAAGTTCTGAGGATCTAGTGTACAGCATGGTGACTATAATGAACAGTACTGTATTATATACTTGAAAGTTGTTAAGAGAGTAGATTCCACAGCCCTTTATTTTAACTACTTGTTACTTATAATTAAATTTGTTAGATGATATGTCTCTCTTGTTATTTGCTCATCGATGTTTCCCCAGGGCCAAGTTAGTGCTTTATGTAAGACAGGCACTCCATAAGCTCTTATTGAATAAATGAGTGCAGTGTATGAAAGAGAAATTATTTTTGAATATCCTTTAATCCATTCTAATTTATATAAAAAGAAAGTCAGGTAAAAACGTTGCTTTTTTACTATTATTTATAAAAACTTACACTTTATAAACTGATCATGGGATGCTGTGTCTGAGAACGACTGTTGTAGAAGAGTAAGAAGATCATTCCGGTCCCAGTTCTATCAACCATTGTGTCATCTTGGAAAAGCCACTTACATTCTCTGAATTGGCCAGAGGGTTAAAAGCCCTTCTGGAATAGGGCTGGGTTTAAATAAATAAATGTGATACCATCCTTAGGTTTCTCACTTGGAAAATGGTGATAATTCTAATTACTGCCTGGGCATACGTAGAGCTATTTGATAACATAATATGAGTTCTTTTTAAAAATTATGAGTTTCTATATACATTTAAAGTGCTTTCATCATTAGAATCAATACAAGTCCTGCTAGGAGATAATAATGTTAAGAACTATAGGAAACTGAAGGCTGGCTTGAGTTTTGACTCAATCAGAAAACAAAGTAGAGTTCTGAGAATGGACAGAGATGGGAGGTGAGGTGCTTTAGCTAATTTTTTTTTTATTCTTATATTATCCCCATACATTACATCATTAGTTTTACATGTAGTGTTCCATGATTCATTGTTTGCGCATAACACCCAGTGCTCCATGCAGAACGTGCCCTCTTTAATACCCATCACCAGGCTAACCCATCCTCCCACCCCCCTCCCCTCTAGAACCCTCAGTTTGTTTTTCAGAGTCCATCGTCTCTCATGGTTCATCTAAAAGAGGTAGGTTTTTATCAGATTGGTATTTGTCACATTCTAGAGCACCATTGTCCAAGGTTAGCCACATGCATAATTTTACATTTTCTGAAAGCCACATTTTAAAAAGAAACAAAGGAAATAAATATTAATATACTTTGTTGAAGCCGATATGTCAAAAATATTATTTCAACATATAATTATTACATAAATGACTAATGAGATACTTAACATTCTTTCTTTATACTGTATCTTTGAAATCTGGTGTTTACACCCACAGTATATTTCAATTCAGAATCACCACCCTGCCAGTGTCCAGTAGACACATGTGGCTGGTGGCTACTGCATTGGACAGCCAGGCCTAGAGCACGGAATGATCCCATTGCTAAGCCATGTAAGCTTTCCTGGTCTGACCCAGAGATACTGGTATTGCTGGAGTTAAACAGTAAAATCATAGTTATTTGTATGAATTTGAAAACATTTCAACTGAATTATTAGGCACCAGTCGATTTTCTCATAAAAATGGCACCATAACATAAATTTCTTTGAAGCAGGCCAGCCTCAACTGGCCTAAGTCACAAATCCTTACAGTACAGTACCAACCAAGGCATCTCACAGAATTTACATTCAGAATTCCTTCCAACACTAGGTCCATACCAACTCTGCATGATTTTGGGGGTGGGACGGGGTGAGGTAATGGAGCAGGAGAGGGAGTGGCCACCAACACACCTTGCTTTTGCCTTAAATCTCAAGTAATTGAAATAAAAGTAAGTACACACCATCTGAACGGTGACGATTGATTGCTGACCCAAGCCAAATCTATTATCACTCTAACCTTTGTTAAGTAAGCAGAGTGCTCAGTTCTTCAAGAAACATTTACAGAGCATCTGTTACCTGCCTGGCCCTACACAGTGCCCTGAGGTTTCAGTGGACAACAAAACAACCCAACCTTTGATCTCACAGGGAGAGGCACAAGGCAACGGGGAGTCCAAAGAAATAAGGGATTGTCCTCAGGGGCCTCATAGTCTAGATGGAGAGGAAAAAACAGTATTATAAAATGCTTAAAAGGAGAAGGCTCTCAGGAACATTAATGTCAGTCATATTCGGAGAACATCCATCGAGAAGCCCTACAAAACACCCCCACTTCCCTGAATACCTCAAGCTCTCAGTGGGAGCGTTAGGGGCACAGACTCCAGAGGCAGAGCTATGCTTATGTTTGGGTTTTGATGCCTGCCAGTCCACGTTCACTATTTTTCTCACCCCTAATTAAATAAGCAAAGCATCTACTGAGTCACCCCACTCACTGTGTCTCACTGGGCAAATGACTAACCTCTCTACACCTCTGTTTTTCATCTGTAAAACAGGGCCAATGCTGACCTCACAGGATTGTTGGGAAAATTAACTGGAAATAAGTGAATTAGTCACTGCAGAACCTGGTACAGCACGAAGGACCATAAACAGGAGATGATATGGTGATGAATCCTCAGCTTTGAGGCTTTACACATTCTGTTCCCTCGAGAAAGTATGCCTGTGGGACAATTTCAGATGTGTATTCAAAATCCAGCCCACATGCTCCTTCCCAGAACTCCCTGGGTAGAGCTGGCTAATTCCTCATGATTTTATTCACAGTCCTAAGGTTACATGTAGAAGTTTATTTAGATGCCAGTGCTCAGAGGCAGGGTCAGGAGTCAGGAGATGAGAACACAGCCTTGGGGTCAATGAGATGTGGGTTCAAATCCTAGTGATAATACTCATTTCCAAGGGTAACCTTGGGCCAACGAATTTCCCCAAACCTTAGTTCTTCATGCATAAAATAGGGATTTTAAGACCTACTCGCAGCGCTGCTGGAAAGATAAAAAGAACATGGGAGGATGTGCCTAAGGATTTTAGCATGCTGCCTGGCACAAAAGAAGAGTCAAATGATACAGGGCAGACCATAAACTAAATGGCCTTGAGGCCCCGCATGATGTAGCCTCTGTCTGATGTTAGCTTTGTTTTGTCTCACTCTGCTCTCCACTTACTCTGTTCTAGCCATGCTGGCCTCTGTTCTCTTTCTCAAGTGTGCCCCAGTGTTTCTTTCCTTAGAGGCTTTGCACTTGCCATTCCCCCTGCCTGGGATGCTCTTCCCCTGATCTCCCCAAGGCTGCCACTTACTCACCCTTAGGGTT